TGATATTGTGTTGAAAAATTTTAACAGATCAATAGAATTTCCTACTTTAAAAAATAAATTAGCTTTAATTAAAAAAATTAGTAAAGAGTATAAATGAATTTCTCATCGAAAGAAATCGAAAAACTTCAAAAACTCATCGATAAAATAAGAAATAAAAATAAATTTCTGTTAAAAAAAAAAAATGATTGTGATAAAACAGATCTCAATAATCAACAAATCATCAATGAAAACAAAAACTTGAAAGAAAAAGACTTTAAAAACAAAATATCAGAACTAAGACAGGAAATACATGGTGTAAAAAGAGAACTTTCGGGATTTATCAAACATAATAATCTTGAAAAAGAAAAAACACGTATAGATGAATCATTAGATAATTTTAAAATAATCTACAATGAAACCGATTTGTTAGAAACTAAAATAGATCTTCTAATAGAAATTAGTAAAAAAATCAATAATATAAATTAAATTATTTGTCGTTTTCTTTTTTTTTTGATTACTACATTTGGATTTATTAAATGTAGATAATCTGCATTTAATAAATCCAAATGTAGTAATAAAATACAACAATAACCCGAATTTAACAAAGAACAAATAAAATGATTGTTTATCTTAAACACCAAATTTCTAATAATGTTTATTATTCTTAATTAAAGTTTATTTATAAAAAGATTTAAAATAAATATCACGAAAATGAAACAAAACAAAACAAAACTGCAAAAAAAAAAAAAAAAAAAAAAAACAATACCTAATCAAATTATAACAATGTACTGGACCTGTAGTGGATGGTGTTGGCTCGGTATTCCTCATAGACATGGAGGCGAAGGCGGTGGTGGTGGTAGAGGATAGAGACGTCCAAATGTAATTCATCATACCAATGTTGTTTATCAAATAACCGTAATTGATCGTACAGATTATGGAAAAATTCGTGAATTAGAAACCCAATTATCTGAAATGACAAAAAATAGAGACGATTGGAAAAAACAATCTGAAGAATGGAAAAAACAAGCAAACGAAATAGAAGAACAATTAAAAGAATATGAAAAACATAAAAAAGAAGTGGAAGATAAAATTACTGAAATTATGATAACTCATCTCAACATAAGTAGAATTGAAATCGAAAAATTAACCACTGTTGGAAAATTAGATACAATCTTAAACTTCATAAGACAAGAAGTAAAAGAATGTTTAAGATTACTTGGAATCCCTTTTCAAACTGGCGATAGTTTGATTTCTATGCTTAAAAAATTAGTAAAAGCCTGTAAAGAAATTGGAATAACCGGTCCTGTTCAAGAAATGTTATTAAGATGTCTAAAAACATTGGATCCTAAAACTCAAATAAATGATCCTAAATCCTTTGGGACCGTGTCTTTGAGTATGGATGCTTTGGTGAAAGCTTGCTATGAAAACAGTAGAGATATTTTAAACAAAGAACGATTTGAAAATAGACCTGAAATTAGTTTTGTAAGAAAATTAATGAGATGTCATTACTACATGGTTGGGAAAAGCAATCTATTGAGTGTAAAAACAATGGCTGATAATTTGTTTAAAGTAACTGATCCCGAAAGTGAAAAAATGTTTAACAGAAAAATATGGAAAAATATCGTTAAAAAGGAATATAACTTACTTTCTATTTTTAATCCCAAATACAATTATATTAATATATTATTAAAAGATGCAGGTTACTATAGGTATGGTGAAGTTAAATATGATGAGACTTTTCTTTATAAATTACATTTTTGTTATTGGCTTTTAAAACGAGAAAAATATAAAATATCAGACAATGATTCGAATAAACAAGGTATAGATGATATGAGTGTTGATGATTTATTTGAACCAATTTATTTTACTTATCTTCGGAATAAACGAAATAGAATGCCAGGTAATTTTTTTTTTTATTAATTTATTTATTTCTTAGTTTTTTTTTTAATTAAAGCTAATTTATTTTTTAAAGTAGGAAATTCTATTGATCTGTTAAAATTTTTCAACACAATATCA